GAGAGGAAAACAAGAAGAAAAGGGACAAGAAGAGAGGGACACAACCTAGAACAGATAATGGATGTCTATTCTATTAACATTTCTATATCTGTAGAATGGGTCTGTTTTATATATTGTCTTCTCCATTCAGAGGGCCCCCTGCCTGTCTTTGCCTAGGGCCCCAAATTTCCTAAAGCCGCGCCTGGGCCCATGTATGTACACACACTGGAATTCTCGCCTTATATCGACGTGTTTTTGGTGATATATCAGGATTTTCGCCTGCCTAATGTAATATCGAACTTTCAGATCTTAGTATCAACTTAAATTATTATTTTTTTTATCTAAAACAATGAGGGAAAATGTACCACCACTATGGTAGATCTTGCTGTGGAGGCCTTTTGCTGTGTGCAGCAGCACCGTTACTGTAGTCAACATGGATTCTAATGAACATTTACATCATTTTATTTTTCATTCTTTTCATTTTGATAGCTGGGAAAACTATTGCAATATATAGTGATATTTCAATATTGTGATACTATCGTGACCCAAGTATCGTTACACCCCTAGTTCCTACTCTGTGGTTGACTGGCTCCAAGAATTTAATTTAATTTTAAAATATATTATCGATACCAAAGATAAATTAAATGTTGTAGCTTTTGTTATAGGGGTTTCCTGAATGGTTTGGAAGTACGGTCTATTCCCATCCTTCAGCCGGGTTTCAGTGAAACATTATGCTGTATTTGATATCATGACTGCTACCTTGTTAGGGCTTAAGGTTGATCCAACATGTTTGCTAACTTCAATTTGCCGTAATTGTTGATGGAAGTGATAACTTAAATATCCTCCCTCTCTATCAGCGTCCTGCCAGCCTCCTCTTCAGCTCATCTGAGATTCAGGGATGTAGTTAAAATATTTTGACAGCTTTTTATCAGCCTCTCCCAGTTGTTAAAAAAACAACAACAACCTTGCTATTGTTTTGCATTGGCATCATAAAAAATATTTCAAACACCAGTGGATAAAATACATTTTATTCACAAAAAAAAAGTTCCTACAGAAATAATACATTTGGTATTCACTTGGTTTTATATCAAATAAGTGTGATGGTGTTTTCTTTCTGCCATATTGAATGACATCAGTCCTCTCTCGTCTCATCTGCAGGTGCCACTCTTCATCCCTGTGGTGTTTTGTCTGACATGTTTCTTCATGGTCTTCCTCTCACTGTACTCCGACCCTTTCAACACTGGAATTGGATTCGTCATGTCCCTCACTGGCATCCCTGCTTACTACATTTTTATCTACTTCAGCAGACCAAAGTGGCTTCAAAAAGCTTTAGGTAAATTTTTTGTAAAATAATTTTCTATTTATTTCTGTCTTTTCTTTTTGCACCAAAATCATATCCATATCATTAAGCTTCAATCAACGTCTTTGAAGGAAGGTATCAATGATACTCTTACTAATATTGCCTATAAACTTAGATTATTATCTCTACAGTTTGAGGTTTTATTCCACTACAATTTACAAAGCCCAAGGAAGGATTACATTTCAATTTTAGAACGTGTGATTTCAGTGCCTTTATAAAGTCTCTCCAAGCACTTTTCATTGTCCACAGCCTGGTACAATTTGTTGAAGGAGATCTACTAAATATCTGCTTAAATATGCTGATGAAGGTTCTCAGTCATCCAGGTCATAGTCATTCCGTAAAAATTCAAAAAA